GAGGGGGGGTTTTTCGCGGGGGTGGGTGGGGGGGGGGGCGCCCCGGGGGCAGCCGACAGGTACAGGCAGGCCAGGCGGACTGGGGCTTGCGTAGTCGTGGAAGCAAAAACTCAGGTCTGGGAAAGGTTTAGGGAGGCCATGGAGGAGAACTACCGGTCGGCCTTGAAAAAATTCTGGCAAACCATCCGGCGCCTAGGAGGGGGAAGCAGTTTGCTGTTGACCTCGACTGGGAATGTCGTTGAAGGATGGAAGGAATACTTCAAGGATCTCCTCGATCCCACTGACACATCTTCCGCAGAGGAAGCTGAGGCTGAGGACTCAGTGGCTGATCCTCCCGCTGGCAGACCGGGGTGGTGTTCCCTCTTTTCAAAAAGGGGGGCCAGAGGGTGTCACACTCCTCAGCCTCCCGAGGAAAGTCTATTCCAGGGTACTGAAGAGGAGAATCCGGCCGATAGTCAAACCATAGATCCAAGAGGATCGCAGCCGAGTGTGAAGCTGCTGGGATGAGAATCAGCACCTCTATGTCTGAGGCCATGGTTTTCAACCGGAAAAAGGTGGTTTGCACCCTCCAGGTTGGGGAGGAGATCCTGCCTCAGGTGGAGGAGTTTAAGTATCTTGCGGTCTTGTTCACGAGTGACGGAAGGATGAGATTGACAGGCGGATTGGTGCAGTGGCCGCAGTAATGCGGTCGCTGTATCAGTCCATTGTGGTGAAGAAGGAGCTGAGCCGAAAGGCAAAGCTCTCGATTTACCGGTTGATCTATGTTCCTACCCTCACCTATGGGTTTGGGTCATGACCGAAAGAACAAGGATACAGAACTGCTGGATACAAGCGGCCGAAATGAGGAGCTCTGTCACCCGGGTAGAGCTCAAAGTAGAGGCGCTGCTCGGGAGGTGCTCGGGTCCTGTCCCTCTGGGAGGAGACCTAGGGGAAGACTCAGAACACGCTGGAGCGACTATGTCGACTATGGGGAGAGGGTAGTCTGGGTGTCCCTGCTCAGACTGTTGCCCCCACTGTTGCCCCCACGACCTGGCCCCGGATAAGCAGTTGATGATGGATGGATAAACTCTCAGAAGCATTCATGTAGAAATATGCACACACAACAACTCTCAGACAGCAAGGACCTCTGTTAATGAAACTCAAAATAATGCATGACTAAAATTCAGATAATTAACTGAGATTAATATATTAACATATAATATATACCGTAACATATACCGTAACGATTAACATATAATATATCCCGTCATTTCTGGACTATTGAGCGCACCTGAATATAGGCCACACCCACCATATTTAAAAAGAAAAAAATAACTGTACCGCCTTTTTTTTACAAACCTGCCTGTAACACGGCTGGTTACACCTTAGCTCTTTCGACCAGACTCTAGTTGGAATGCACAGTAGTGATGTTCGATACCACCAATATCCTTTCCGATCCAATACCGAGTAAAATTCGGGCCGGTATCGGCAATACCGATATCGATACTGATATTTTATCATTTGTCTTTTAAATAAAAAAAATGTGTATTTCAAATCATAGCTTCTTTAAAAATCCAAGGCAGAGTTTTTGATCTTGTGTATTTTTACTGTAAACAGTTTATGGTAGTAGTAGAATTATATTATAATAGTACTACTAGTATTTTTTTACCTGAGTGCTGCTTTTATTTTTATTCAATCAACCTAACCTGTTCCGATGGGTCTCTGTTTTTGTATTTCATAATATATTTTTACAGAGGTTAAATAAAGATGAATGAATAAATAAAGCCATTCATTGAATAAGCATTTGATAGGCTTTATTTTTTACATTTCTAATTCATTATTCACCAAAACATGTTATTTGTTAAACAAAAATAAAAACCCGGAGTTTTTCAGTGAACCGAGCCAAAAGAACCGGTTCTCTAAAAAAGAGCCGAAATTCCCATCAATAGTGACTGAGTGGGAGCACGGAGTAGAGCCCCTGTGCTTACGCATGACGCACACACCCAGGCGGAAGAAGAAGTAGTCCCACCAACCGAGCGTCACTTAGACAACATCTCAATAATTTGGATACTTTTCACCATGTTTCTGATTAGGATACACCTATTCTCAGAATGCTTAAGTATCAAAAGTATCGATATTTTGATTTCAGAATCGATTTCAGAGCATAAAGATCCAGAATCGGAAGTATCGATATTTCAGGATCGATCCGCACATCACTAAACAGGGGGGACTTAGTTATCTGCTCCAGGGCCGAAGCTAACGTTAGCTCCGGGGCTAACTCCCTTCACTTTGCGCTTGTCTGCTGCAGAGGTAAACAGAAACAGGGGAATTGGGGTCTTTATTATCAGCCACACTGAGCACAACAGTACATAAACTTTGGTTTAGTTTATTTAAAAGGGGACAGTGCCATTTTCATAAACATCACATGATTACGCATGGTTAAAAAAGCCAGAGTTAGCCAGAAGGCTAGTTTTCATCTGTAGTCCCCTGGTCATGATGTAAGAAGGCAGAAACACACAATACATGCAATACATACAATATAATATACTCCCACTTTGACCAGCCTGGGACCAAGTGGTTAGGCAATAGTTGAAGTGAATGAAAAGGATTGCAGCTTCAGTTGACATTTCATTTCGAATTGCACGGAAATTTGCGAGATTTAACATGATTGTTTTGACACATGTTTTCAATATGGGCTTTAAAAGAGAGCTGTGAATCTATTATTACCTCAAGATATTTATATTGGCTGACATTTTGTATTTTTTCTCATTTAACATGTATATCGGGGTCAGGTGATGTTCTATTCATTTTAGTGAAATACATACCTACAGTTTTAGAAAGGTTTAGCTGCGTAACTGTCTTTGAGTTGGCACTAAGGAGATGGGTTATTTATTTTTGTATGTTAACTTACATTGTTGTAGAACTCAGTTTCAAATAGAAGCCACATATATATAGTAAAAAACTGTAAATAGTTAGTTAATACGGGATTCATTCTTTTATCAAATTGAGATTTGTATGTGAACTTAAAAAGGCTTTTGTAGTTACATTTTAACTTGAAGCCATATAAATAAGAAACGTTTGATACAATGTCCATTTTTGTACAGTGATTTTATACTATTTTGCTATTAGATAAATTTAAACAACAAAAAAAACCAAAAACATTTTGGAACCAAAACAGCCTTACGTTTTAGGTTAACCGAGGCATTAGAGCTGACTCTCTTAAAAAAGCCACTATCCATCACTATTATAGACACTGCAAAACTGTAGAGCTTTGTTGAAAGCCATTGCAGATCCATTTGCCTAAATATACATTTCTGAAAATCACTGAAACGTTTTCACTTCTGTATTCTGTAGTTTCTCAGTGCCATGGTGGATGCTCAGAGGTGGACTCTCTTACTGAAGCTGTTGCCGGAGAGGGATTTTCTCTGAAATGTATTTCCTGCAAAAAGAGAGAGGAGGTGTCTGCTCGTGCCACTGTGGACTGGCACTTCAAACCTCTTGGAGAGAAACAGTATTGGCATGTAAGTTGAATTGTTAAACATGGATGATTCTTGTTACTAAATTGACTTTTTTTTATTCTTCAAACTAAATATGTGAGTTCCTGTCTTAACTTTAAATACCAAGATGCCTTTGTTTTCCTGAAAAAGTTGCAAGCTAGCCCGATTTATTCTGTCAGTTTCAGATAGATAGAACCACACAAAGTCACACTGTTTGTTAGTTAGATGGGCTAATTCTAACATTAAGAAAATGGGGAAATACTGTTACTTGTTCCGATACTTGAAAATGTGTGCTGACTGAATACTAATACTTACTTTTGAAGTCACTTTTTTTTCTGAGACCTATCTAACAGAGAAAAATTCTCATATTGTCTAATGTGTTTATATTGACAGTATTGAAAACTTTAGGTGCGAAACAGAACAATAGCTTGATATCTACACTGTGGTTTCGGTTGAGCTCACACACACAAGAATTTTCAAAAGTGGTACTGGGTATCGGTGAGTACACAAATGAAAATGCTTGTACTTTAATTGTTATGTAAAAACTGATTTTTGTAGAGATAAAACTAATAATGGATAGTTATGTATTATAATATTTTAGGTACAGTATCGTGCCAAACTAATCTCATTTTCGATCATCTTTTTTGGGGGGGCGGGTAGTTTTCTTCTGTTAATTTTATTTATAGTTAATTTTATTTGTGTAGTCATCAGTTCAAGCAAAACATTTGTGATTTAATACAGTTTGTTAATTTTCTTTCATTTTTTTTAGTATTTAAGCATTGATCAATTTTAAAACATTACGGTATGTACTGATTGGTAACCAAAAAAAACTTTCTACACGATCAGCCCAAGACACAAATAGTATATACTATCGAGATAGTGTATACTATCTCATATTAATCGAAGCAGTGACATCATTTCAGAAAAGCTTGAGCCTAAGTCTAATGGTGTTAAACATTTTACTATCAGGGCTTTTTTTTTTAATTATATTATCAGTTTTGTAATCCCTTAATTTAATGCTTTCTCCTTTTATTAATATTATTAATCTTTCTTGATTTTCGGTTGGGATTCTTCTTTTTATTATTGTTGCTATTTCTTTGGTCTGTAGGTAGCTTCAAACTTTTACCTTTTCAACACTGGCCATCCCAATGTCCACCAACATATCCATGATTTTTTAAAATTATCTACCTCCTAGTTTTCGTTGACGATTACATTTTTAGTTTTTCCAGTTTTCAATTTTGGTTTCATTTGACCTCCCAAGTCAAGAAGTTGTTGGGATCTGCTCATTTTGGGATCTGAAATCTCTCTATGTGTGAGTCAGATCCCATGTGTTCTTTTGTGGAGCAATAGAAGAAGATTGTTAGGCTTAATATTTATTACAGAATCAGCAAAATAGATCTATGCGTCCCTGACAGCATAGAATGTCAGTTCACGAAGTCTGACCAACCATATTTCCCTGACCCAGGTTTTTAAGCATAATAGAGTTGTGCACGTAAACGTTGTCCTCTTTCGATTGGTTGGCCTTGTCCTCCTTCTTGGGATCTAACTCCACCTCTGCGGCTGTTGCTGGGGCCATCCTGAAACTCAACGGTTATTGTAACCTTTTTCACTTGAGATATACACACAAGTGCTTTGGCCCAGAGTCATTGTCTCTGTCATTGGTGTGGAACCCCAGGGTTCACCTCCTGGGCAAGTTCGAATCCCGGGTTAGTGCGGTTGGTACCTTCCAGTGGACTCACCACCCGTAGGAAGGTTTATGGGGGTTGGTACGGTGCAATGTGATTTGGGTAGCGACCGCTGCACCTGCGACCCGGTAACGGATAATCGGCTGAAAATGGATGGATGGATGGATGGAAAATAAACAAAAAACTATATATGTATGTTTATGTGTTAGTGGTTTTATTTGTATATTTGATTGATGGATTAATTGACTGATTGGAAGGGTACAACACATCTTTTTTGTCACACAATTACTACAGTACATTTCCACTCTTCGTCACACAACAGCTCTGTAGTTTTCCATTCTTGAAGTTAACATTTGTGATGCAATCACTTCACTATTAGTTAATCATAAGGCAGCTACAGTTCTCAATAATCACATCTTTACAAAATCGCTGGGAAACTTAGGCTAGCCTGTAAATGCCTTATTGAGCAAGGGGATCTCGTGGGCACTGCAAGATTTTAGTCCATTGCGGTGCGGCATGTTACCAACTCTTTTCTTGGTGACTGACGTCCCAATGTCCTTCATTAACACGATCATTAACAGACTCCTGACATATACTGTTAGGCTGCTTCCTCACCTTTCTCATTATCATTACCACTCCACAAGGTGAGGTCTTGCATGGTGCTCCAGACTGAAGACAGTTCATGGTCATTTTGTGTGTTGCTTCTGAATAAATACGCCAGTAGTGGTCACCTTCTTGCCAAGTCTTTTGCTGATGTTTTTTTTTTTTTTTAACCCATTCAAAACTTTTACAGACCCGGACATCTTTTGGCAGCTCTTTGTACCTGCACATGGTGCCATATAGATGGGAATGTTAAAAACCGATTCCCAGAGCAAGTGTACATTATACACATGACAAGTTAAGATGAGGAGTATTAATTGGTTGTTTGTCCACAGTGTATGCCACATGAGCACCAGACAATCTGTGGGTCCAAGAATTTTCTTGCTCTATCAAGTACAAAACATTTTATAATTTTAGAGTCTGTTGATTTCTTTGTAACGGGGCAAACTGAAAAAATCAGCAAAATATTTCCCCTCTGTAATTTGTCCAATATATCCAATATATGTTTTTGCTGATGGGTGCTCGCTGTGCTTGCATGACTCATGCTATTTTTTGACATGTACGCACATTCGACTCGGTAAAACAGTGAAACAATTCCTTAATCACAATATAGTTGTGGGTTTACAAACAACACACACCAGGAATTAAAGAATCATAACTACCAAAATTGCTGCAAACAGGCTCAAATACAATGGAACCTCAAGATACGAGCATAATCCATTCCAGGATCGAGCTTGTAACTTGAGATGCTTGTATCTCTAATCATTTTTTTCCCAAATTGCTATAGAGATATACACACACAAAAGAACGATACTATATAAGGATTCCTGTGATATAAAATAAAATGTGGTTTTAAATGATGAGTTCTTACCTTCGAGACAGACGATACAGTGGCGGCTAATGGCGGCATGTGCGGAGGAGGGAGGTAGGGACGGAGGGAAGAGAGTTGCCCCGTACGGAGACACTACCTTACACATACACTATGTAACGTACATAAATTTAGGATTAACGTAGCTCAGGTATTTTTATTTACTTTTCTATTTTTTGTATTATTTTTTTTTTGTATTTTTTTCTTTTTTTGCTTTTGTCAATTTGTGTTCTTTCTTTAGCGTGCACCACGCTCATACAATTTGTGTTCTTTCTTTACGCTCATATTTATCAAAAATGTCATACTTTATTTCCATGGTCATCATGCGTTTCTTCTTCTCACTTCCATCCTTATTATTCTTCATAATCACTATTATGAAGAATAATGCATAAAAAAGAGAGAAAAATCACCATTATGAAGAATAATGCATAAAAAAGAGAGAAACGCAAACACAATACGAAGGACTCGCAGGAAATGCGCGAACACGCGAAGTGAATGATGTGAAGCGACGTGGGCTGCGCCGAGTGCTCGGCCACCTAGCGTCGGTGTCTGTAATCCATTCCAGGAATGAGCTTCTAACTCTCGAAGCAGCACATCGCTGTGATGACCTCCAGTCTTAAACCACAGTGAAAGCACCAAGCCCAAAAATGTAAACAACAAATTATATCTATCAGGCTGCCCCCCCCCCAGTGAGCTCATCTCTGTTACCAGATTAGGAATTGTTTTCAAAACTCAGTGTGATTCAGTGGCAAAGACTTGGTTATACAAAATGGCGATTACATACAAAATGAATATATGTTAACACAGTACAGCATGAAGCAATGATACTAAATGAAATTCTTTTCCCTCCTGTTTATCGATTGATGAATGCCAAATTCTCTTATCCTGCATTATGGCTCTTTTTTAGGTTTTCCGTAACACATTCATTTTCAACTCTTTTTTAGGTTTTCCACAACACATTCATTTTCATAGCACACAGTCTTGTTTGCCTTTAAGAGGAGTAAATGATTGACACTAGTGTGGAGGGGTAGCTTCATGTGTCAATCTTAACATAAAGTTATATCCCCAGGTATTACTTGGGAGTAATGGGACCTGGCTCTGTAAACAGCTCTGGAAGCATATAGCAACACAATCATCAACGCCATTCTCTTTTGCAGTGTTCATTAACCATTTTTAACCACATACTCTCAGTTGTATACCAAGTAGCCATGGTCATGATGTCTTGGTGTAATCTACGGCTATGACCTTCACACTTCTACTCCAAGGACCAAATATATTCCAGTTTGATTTTTCTTTACCAGAGAGTTTCCAATTACTCCCCGTTGGTAATTTAGTCCAATTCAGGGAAATAGTGATCGGATTTTGGGTATTGGAAAAATCATGTTGGATTTTCACTTGATCCCAAATGTCTTTGTCACTGTATACATTTTTATCTGACATTGTGGGAATCCATTGACCTGTATATCCTATGACCATGTTCCAATTCCTACACCATGCTCCATGGGGCAGCCGATTCTGTTCACATCGGTAATGGACATAATAATGAAAACGCACATAAAGGTCATAAACAAACGTCTATGCCGTCGTCTCACCTAATGTATATTCAAGAGTGATACCACCATAGTTATTTAAAGATTTAGAATCATTCGTTGCTTCAGTGTCTTCTCTTTTTACTCTCTTGTGTGAATGGGGTTGCTCTGCTGGATCTTTCATCATTGATGGGTGGTCAGTGGTGGTGCTGTTTTTCTGTAGCTCTTTGTCTTTTAGAGTGAGTACGATAGGCAGCACCAGGACGACTCCTGTGACTATCAACACACACACAGAGAGTCGCATTGGAACTTCTAATCTACGGAATGGGTGCCATGGTTTTGGCTTGGGTCGAGTATCTTCTGTCGTCATCATTTTGAGAGAAGAGGTTACCAGCACTTCACTCTCTTTGTCAATCCTCTTATATCTGCAGGACTATGGTTAGCCCAGTACAGTAATCATGCTAAGTGGCTGAGGATCTCCCTGCGTCACCAACATTGAGACGTATAGCTTCTATATAGCTACATCCCTTTGCAGTCAGACTTCCCCTCGACCAATTGGATTCCCTTTTTGTGTAACACTCTTCCATTTGTTCGTTCCACAAGCCCTGCATTTTGTGGATGATAAGCGCAATGGGTTTTTTTTTAACAATTTTTGACTTATGCTTGATATGACTTGGTTCACAAAATGACTTCCATTGTCACTGTAAATGGTTTGTGGTATACCAAATCTTGGTATAATCTCTTTGACCAATGCTTTTGCCACTGTAATAGCATCAGCAGCTTTTGATGGGAACAATTCTAC